GGGGGAGCGGGGCCGGGGCTGCTCCCACCCGCTCTGCCCACTTTTCGCACCGCCCTTGCACTCTCTGAAAGTGCTTCCATGCAAAAGAAGCCGGGGAGGAAGGGGGAACGACGTCGGTTTGCCTGGGACCGCCCGTGCCCGGAGGATTTCGGCGGAACGGGAGTGAGATTCCCGGGTTTTGCTGTCGGGAGCCCGGCGCTGCTTTCAGCTTTGCGACGTTACTCGGAGGGTTCAGGCTCCTGGCAGCGCGGGTGTTTCCTAACTTTGCTTTTAAGGGTGGAGAGAAAGGGATGATCAGCGTGGACAACAGGAAAAACTCACGCTTGAGTGGTAGAACGGGCGGGGGGGGAAAAAAAAAAGGGGTTGGGGTTTATTTTGAAGGCGACACTTCTGAAAGAAAATTGAAAACTCCTTCGTTGAGTTTACTTTTTGTTCTTAATTCCAGAGCAGCTCAGTTGTCGCTCAGTGCTGTCGCTGTATTTCAATAGGGTGTTAATCCAATAATGATAAAAAAAAAACAAAACCCAAGGAACCAGCTAAGTCAAGATACAATCTAATTTTGTGTTTTTAATGCTGTGGCTATCAGTCCCCAGTGATTGCCGAGTACTCTTCCAAGCAAACAGAGAGCATTGATTCTATTTGTTCCCCCGAACTGCAGTTTCTTAATAATATCAGGTGAAGATTTATTTTCTAAGAATCAAGCAGGGCAAAACCTTTAATTCGGAGAGTCTCTCTCCCCCGTTTGCAGTATACTGCCTGATTTCAGAGCAACACTGTGCAACTCTTCCTGCCAAGGGACTGTACCGGGTAAGTGTTGCACCGCAGACTTCACAGGGAACCCGCACGCCTGGCTGATTGACTGACAGTAAATACATTTTCTGGCAATTTTTTATTTCCCTGGGAATCTATGGCATTTAGCCAGCATAACAAGACACTAATAGATATTATAGATCCTTTCTCACTGGGTTTTTCCCCAACAGCCATTCAAGTGCAAAATATAATTGTTAAAGCTGTGAAAATAGATCCATAAACTTAACAGCACTGGAGTCCTCATTAAAAACTACCCGGCTTGTTTTCTGTACAAAGCTGGAGTCTCACGATCTCCGCTGTTATTAAGCACTTGGCCGTGACCAGTTTGATGTAATAATTAGGAACTGACTTGTTATAACTGAAAAGACAGCTCTGATGTCAGCGGGGCTTATAAACACTGTGTCACACCGGTTTATTATTTTTACTACGTTTACTCATAATGTAAAAATAGCAGCCAGTCTATTCTTTCTTTGGGAGTTTATTCGGGTCCAACACAGCTATAATAGGCACTTCTTTGAGCGCTGGCGATGAAGCATGAGAGATAGCTTCTCTTTTCTGAACTCATTCATCTCAATCGGCAGTCTTTCAGCCAAAAAGGGGGGGAAAGGGAGGTGGTAGCACAGCGATGTGAAGCCCCCTAACATGGATCAATGCATCCGTTAACCTGGAGTTTCCGAGCTTTAGGAGAAAGCAAAAACATGCTGTTGAAGCAGACATCCGTAAATTGTGGAAGAAAAGTTGGGGAATCAAATAGAAAGGGAATTACCCAGAGCTAAATTTCTGTTCTAGATACATGCCTCCCACCTTCTCATATGAGAGCTCCCTCCTGGATCTCATGCTGAGAGACGGTTTGACTTCTCTTTTTTTTTTTTTTTCCCAGTTCTTTGTCATTTTGTTTTGTAATTACTTAAGATTTTTATAGCTCTACTGGAAAGATGACAAAATTGCAGAAATGTTGCTCTAACCTGAAATGAATACTGGGAAGGTCACTGCTCCTTGTATTAGGTGAACCTTAGATGTTATTAGGACTTTAAATTGTTTTTTATTAAATGTTATTGTTCAGATAAATCATATGTGGAGATGCTGGACTATGTATCTGTCTCCCCAGCTGTCTTATTTATTTGCTTATCTTTTTAAAACTATCAATTTGTCTGTCTGTCTCTGCTCTGTGTCTGCATATTCTGTCTTCTAATGACCTATAGCTGCTTCTTGATATTATTTGGAGACCCATTAGAGCTCTTGTCCAGCTGCTGTTACGAACCAGATACCTTAAATGGGGCAGCACTCCTTCCCATCTCCCAAACAGCAGAAGAGCCATAAGCATCTGCTATGGATTTCTTTTTATTAAAGTTGTATATCTCCCTAGTACAAAAACCTGGCTTTTGGCTTGGGAAGCCCAGCTGAGGGCTGTGTCTCCCGGGGGACCTCTGTTCTTACAAGTCTTGTTGCTCCAACTGCCCCCCCTTGCTCCCAGCTAATTTGTCTTTCAATTTGTTGCAGGTGCAGCCTGCTAATGAGCTCTCCCTTTGCCCTGACCATGAAGGAGAGAGGAGACCTGAGGTAGCAGCATGGCTTGCAGCTGAAGGCTTTGGGAACTTGAGGCTCAGTTGCCAAAAGGCAGAGTCAGACAGAAATCCTCGCCACTGCTGTGAGATACAGAGAGAGAAGCAGTGAGGCCAGCGCTGCTCCTGTCAACCCACTGACCACCCAGCATCCTGCTGGGGCCCCTGCGGATCTTGCCACCCAACGTGTTTATGGTGACGCAACCATCCTTTGGGAGAAAGGAATTTTAGCTCCAAAGAGTCTCTCTGTTGTCAGAGTTGTACTGATGGCCAGATGCTATATTTATTTGATGTATTAATGTTCAAAAGCCCCAATAATTATTTAAGGCAGACCACAGTTTAAGGCGCTTTCCACAGCAACGCATTTGCGGCGGACAAGAAGGTTGAGGAAAACCTGATCCAGCACCATCTCACAGCCTCTCCAATTTACTCCTATCAAATTTCATCAGCGACTCAGAACTTGATCTTTCTATTGATTGACTGGAGTCACCTCTAGATATTTTCATGCTGATTTGGAAGCCCTTTCATACGATAAAGCGGAAAAAAATGAGGTTAAGGAAGACTTTTGACCACTGATCAGCAACTCCGGCCAAAACTTTCCCAATCAAGTGATTTGCAAAGTTGGCTTCTGTACCGAGAGAAACTTTCCACATCCAAATACAGCGCACAGAGTGAGATCATTCCTGTTATCATCTGGATCTCCTTCGACTGGATCATTTTTAGATGAGGAGTTTCCATGCTGATCCCGAGAGCAACCCCTAGCCCAGTAGCTGCCTTCCTCGGGACTCTCGGCACTGCCCTCGCCCAGGGGTCCCGCACTTGGCCACAGCTGCCATGCTCTACCTGGTTGCTCTCCTTTTGCACTGTCTCCCCTTGGCCATGGGACAGTATGACATTTGCAAGTCCTGGGTGACCACGGACGATGGCCCGTCATGGGAGTTTTATGCTTGTCAACCCAAGGCCATGCGGATGAAGGATTATGTGACAGTACGGGTGGATCCGGCAGGAATCACTTGTGGGGACCCACCGGAGAGATTCTGCACCCACGTAAGTGTTTCCCTCCTTATTTGACGTATTATAACAGACTCTGCTTGCAGGTGGCCAGGGGTAATGTCCTGCCGAGATGCCATTAAAAGGACATTTCGGTTCAGGGTGGCAACGGTGGCTGCTGCCTTGAGCTCTCAGTCTGCAAAATGGGGAGACCCTAACGCTAACCCAACCGGTGCTGTGCTGATGGGAGGTCAGCCCCAGAGCAGGGATGGTGCTGGCATGCTGAGGGGAGGGCGAGGAGGAGCCAGGGAGGGCTGAGCAAGTCCTAGTGTGGGGTGGTAAGGTCTGGGTGTTGGAAAAGCTTTGCCCCGAGTGAGCGCACCACCTGAGCTGCTCTGAGCACGTCCCTCTGCTTGCTGAAGTGTGTGGGGTGCGTGTGTGTGCCAGTCCCATCCCAAAAGGCTGCGCCGGCACTGGCGTTTTATCAGAGGGTACGTGGTCTCAGCGTGAGTAAGAGCGGGGGGCAGGGCAGTGGAGGCCAGCGTGGCCCCCGCACACCGGCAGCTCAGGCAGTTGGTCTGACCGCCACAAATTTCACCGGAGTCGCTGAAAATGTGGTTCTCCCTCTCTTTTAGCCTCCACATGAAAAGACTCTGTGGACAGACACTTGCGCTTGTAGTTAAAATCTTTAACTTATTTTCTCTTAAATATTAATCATTGCATTTCATTCCGTGCACCACAAAGCTCAGCAGGAGCATTTGATTTATAATTCACAAGGCTTTACATTGTTAAGAAGAGTTCAGGGGTCAAAGCCAAGAGAAAAACAGTGTGGCTGTAACGCCCGCTCCCAGACGTCCTCCGGGAGTGGTCCAAGCACACATTTACGGCACAGGGACCAAGCCAGCCCAGGCTGACAGGGGTGAGCACCGCACAAGGAGTGTCTTCTAAAAAAGTGTATTATTCTTCTGTTACCTATAACGGGAAGGGGAGTTCTCCCTCTAAATCAGTGGAGGGAGTTCCATTTTCTATTGCCAGCGCTATCCAGGCTTGTATACCCCATGCCTCAGTTCCCCACCTAGAAAATGCACAAACTCCTAGAAAGTACCCTGGGCCAAACCAGCTCAGGGCAGCTGCTGAAAATCCAAGAGAAAAATGCTGCTTTGATACCAAGGGATGCCAAACGTTTATGACCATCAGAACATGCTGCCAGTAGTTACCCAGTTCCCTCCAGCCTAGGGGGTCTCATTAGTACCAGGGAAGATGTTGTCACTAAATCAAGATAAGTAGCAGCTTTTCCTTTTAAAAGTTCATTTGAGAAGAAAGATTAAGTCAAAGGTTGCAAATAAAACAGTGAACTATTGATGGGTCAGTCTGTATTTCCATTTATCTGACTGGCTGCAAAAGGATTAAAAGGTGAACATCAGATTGCTTACCACTACGTTCACTGCAGCTATTTGCAAACCCTTTCTGGCTAAGGATGCTCTAGACTTCAGCTCCACTGACCTCCAAGGAAGCAAAAGACGCAAACTGCAATCAGCTCTCTACATCTCTTGACTCAGTCAATACTGAGCTAAAATCCTTCTATTCTGGGCACCAGCAGTATTTCCTTGTAGCGTACGCCTGCCATGTGCTGTAACACTTGCAAACACCGTGTACAGCCGTGAATGGGAGTTACACAAATGCAAAACACGGATTTGCCTTCCTGTCCCTGCCTCACCCTGGGGTGTGTGCCTGGCCCAGCTCTCGCCTCCCAAAACAGAAACCAGCACTCACGGCAACATCCCCAGGCAATTCCCTGATGAAGAATCAAGCTAAGAAAAGGAGTAATTTATTGCAAGTCATTTTTTTAGATTTTTGAGATAGGTTTATGACATCCCACTGTATTTATGGCCCTTTCTCCCCCATCTTACACCAGCACTGTCCTCTCCAGAGGATTAGAGAGTTTTAAAAACGAAGCAGATGAAGAGCAGCCCTGCTGAGGTGAGCAAAGAGCCCACCCAGCACTTGGTGCACAGAGTAGGAGGTGGCTGCAGGAGAGACCCAGGCTCTAGTCCAGCCTAAGGACCTGAGCGGTAGGTGCTGGGAGACCATCAAGGTAAATTTTCATGGCCTTTGTCACAGAGAAGGACACGTGACCATTTACTGCTGAGCATCCCCTTATGGTCAGTAGAAAGTGGAATCAGCAAGAAATAGCCTTTCCATCGCTGGTCCTGGGTGGTGACTTGACACCTATTGACGTGCAGAGAGAGGCGAGCGGAGTTTTGCTGCCCCTGCGCAAAGGAAGCGCTGGACAAAAATCAATGGCGCTGCCCACCGATCGTTACAACCTCCGAGCCCTGGCCCTTGCTGCGAGAGGGGAGGGGGACGGCTCGCACGACCCCTGCGCTGCTCCTTGCCTGCCAGCCGGCTCAGGTGCCTTTCGGTGTCCTGTTATCCTTTCTCTTCTCTTTTAATTATTTTTACGTAACAGGTGGGTTCTCATAGGAGGCTGGCTTTCCAGCAGAGAAGTTCTTACAGTAACTATATTGCTTTCTTAGGTGTCTTTCAAAACAGCAGGGTACTGTCCGTGCAGTTAAACTATCGTTACTCAGAATTAAGCCCAGCCGGCTCAGGTGCCTTTCGGTGTCCTGTTATCCTTTCTCTTCTCTTTTAATTATTTTTACGTAACAGGTGGGTTCTCATAGGAGGCTGGCTTTCCAGCAGAGAAGTTCTTACAGTAACTATATTGCTTTCTTAGGTGTCTTTCAAAACAGCAGGGTACTGTCCGTGCAGTTAAACTATCGTTACTCAGAATTAAGCACAGCCCGGCAGGACGCCTGCACTGCTCAGACCACTGAAATCAAAATTAAAGACACACAAACATCCCTCCATGCTTAAGGCAGCCAGACAAGAGGGAGCAGGACCATGTCCCTGTGCGGGGCGTCGCTGCAGGGCAGAGGAGGAGAGTCCTGGTGAAAGTCAGGACCCTGA